TAATTGCTTCTTAATTATTTGAGGTATCAACAGATTTACTTGTCGTTGTATGAAAGCTGAGTCCGATTCTTCTGTGCCACAACTACAAGAATCAGCGGCAATGGCAGAAACATTGACTAGTATTAAAGCAGAAGATCCCGTTGGGTCTCAAACAATTGGTGGAACAGTGGAAGACCAAAAACTAAACTCTGTTGACGTGTTGAATGCCCCCTCAGATATCAAAACACCACCAATGTCTATTCCTCCACAAGCAATGGGTGTCATGAGCCCAAATTTACCTCAAGGAGTTCCGCACCATCCAGGATTGCATCAGACACCAGTTATGCCGCAGCTACCCAATCCTGCTGCTTTAAGCCAGCATGTTGCAGCTGTTGATAACAATGCTTGCACTCTTCCAGAGTATGAACTGGCCCGTCGTCTGGGTGTACGTTTTGATTCATCTAATGCGGCATGGGTTGCAAGGTGAGAAGCGCGTCTTTCTCGATTCCTTTCTGACTATTTTCTGTTCAGGTGGACCGATGCTCAAAACGATCGAAAGAAGTCCCGCTGGTTCTCAGTTGCCAAATATGGAAACTCCTCTGCACGACGTTTGGCTATTCAAGCTTGTCTTCATAACATGAAACCATCAGATTTTCCCACCCTTCGCGATTTACAAGATGTCCTTGCTACTTTTGGTCACCCGGGTTCGAATGGTGGGTATTCGATGTCTTGAAACACTCGATATAAGGGTGGTGTATGTTTCAGGCGTAGAACATCACATGGCGAGTAAACTTGGCGCTCAATTTGGGTCGCAATTTCTTCACCCACATCACAATCCATTTGCTGCTATGCCCGGACTTGCAAACCCAATGGCGGGCTATATGGCAGCAGGTGCAATCCCAGGGATGGGTATGCATCCGGGTGCCAATTTGGGAATGTTTGTACAAGGCGTTCCACAACAACACGCAACCCAAGGCATCGCTCCCCAGACGCCGGACGGTCAACTGCAAGAAGGAGAGGCAGTCGCAGGTCCATCAGCAGAAACAGGACAAACCGAACAATTGGACGCTAATGGGCAACCAATTGTTAAGACTCAATATGAAGGAGCAGTCATGGATCCAAGTGCGCCACAAGTGAAAACACAATATGATCAGACAACAACTGCAGCGTCCTCCGTAGCCTCACCTTCAGCGAATACAGGAGTCAAGACTGAAGCCGCTCAAGTAGCTGGGGCGAATGTCAGAAGTTCAGACCCCGCTTTTCTGCAGTCATTATCTGCTCAACCAGCGCCAACAACACCACCTGAATCGGCGTCATCATCTTCTTCGCGGTTTGTCTTATCCGGTGATTCCTCATCCCAAGAAAGTTCTGACCTTGATACCCGCTCCATTGGTTCGCGTTCAGATGACGAAGACGATGATGATGGGAAAGACGGTGAAGAGGGAGATCGATCTGTTAAGCGAAAAAAGAGAAAACTGGATGAATCAGGTACTTCCGAGAATACAGGAAATCAACAAGGAGTTCAACAACCTGGCCCCAATGCAGGGGCGTTTGGTCAAGTGAACGTCTATCAGCAAGGACAGCAACAGCCAGGCGGTCAAAACTTACATGCAATACCTCCAGCTGGACAGAACTCAGTGCATCCATCGTATTATGCCTCCCTTTATGGCGGATACCCAGGCGCTGCACCACAACAGATGATGATGCACCAAATGAATGGACAGGCTCCAGGAGCTGCAGGGTTGCCATTTTTCATTCAACCACAAATGCTCCCAATGTTACACCCCCATTTCCAACAACACGCAGCAGCAGCTGCAGCCGCAGGTTTCTTACCCCATGGACACTTGCAATCTGGTATGGATCAATCCCAGTACCATCACCTAATGAATAAAGGAATATACTTGCCAGGATATCAACACGGTGGAGGTAAGGACCTTTGTTCTCGTCAGGGATATAATGCTGGCTATTCTGTGGTTCAGACGGGTCGAACCCTAACGGCGATTCTCCATCATCAGCGACATCTCCTGGTGGAGATGCTGGTGGCTATAAGCGGCATCATGGACATAGCGGGTCTCAGTCGTCCTCGTCAAGTGGTGGCGGGGCACAACAAGCGACGGCCAAAATGACTTGCGAAAGAGGGTTGCACTACAGCAAGTGCTACGGTGGAAATCAAGAGTGTTGGATCGCTGTGTGGAACACGAAAGGCGGACGCATAATGCATGAGGCATTCGACGTACAAGAAATGGGCTTTGAAGGAGCTAAACTGAAAGCACGGGAAGCCAGAGACGCTGCTCATAGCAATAACGTAGCGGTTACAGAGAATTCACGCCCATCATGGAAATCGCACTCGAACACTGGAATTCCACACGTCAGTCTTGACAGCCAGCAATTGCGATTCCGGGCACACAAGTTCGGTCGGCGCCTTTGCCGATCATTCAGCTTCGGTCGCCGGCGAGGAAGCTATGCGTCGCGCGAAAGTGCGTTTGATGCTGCTGTGCTGTGGTTGATCCAAACTCCAACGGAAGAAGAAATTGCAGCGGTTTCTGGATGTAATTCTAAAATTGAAGAAATGTAATTGACGAAGCAAATATTGTTTTTTGTTTCCGATGCATTTCTCTCCTCGTAACTCGCCCTATTGCTGCAATATTCACTGCTTTGTACGGAAGCCCGTCCTCATTGGCTATTGCTATTCCGATCTATTTATAGCTGATTTCAAAATTCATTCATTCTTTTGTTGAAATCCTGATGTCTTCGTCGGTAGTAGCAGTTCCCTATTCATCCTCTTTTCCTTTGATATGGCATTTTAACACGCGTTGTTGTGGATGTTACCTATTGTTTATCAACATGATTCAGTTTCATCTGAACCAACAATGAGTTGAGTGATTGTCCTCTTGGAGAAGGCGAACCACAGGCTGTAATGGTTGCTGTTGTCAGACTGTCCCTCCCTGTAATTTGGGAAAGATCTACAAGAAGAGGAAGACAGGAAACTGTGCATGCTGAGAAATTTCTGGTTGTTACCCTCCTCTCATTCTTACCTTTCTTGTTCTCACAAATCTGCGTCTTGCTCCCCGCTGACTTCTTACTTCTTTTTTCGTCTGATGGAGTTTCATCTCCTGCACTTGGCCAGCACCGCACAACGCCATCTTCGCTTCATTCCACGATTTCCGCTCGACTTGTGCCTGCTTTATTCGAAAAACACGCGACTGTGTACGAAAGTGTACGAAACAATCAGGAGATAGGTACAACCTAAGCATCCGGTTAATGGGACAAAAAAACAGCTCAACGTTCAGCAAAACAGAATCATGTTGAAAACTTCTTGAGTATAAGACGCTGGAGGAAGTAGGAATGGCGAACTCGTCGGTTCATCATTGTTTGCTGTACACCCAGTCGATTTGCTTTGACTGCAGTCCAGGTCATGAGATGTTACAGTTAAACACACTTTACTCACTCTCCAACCGACGTTCAACTTTTGTTGTTTTAGTATTGCTCTCGTTAATAAATTTTGCAAACGCCAGCATAGATTGTTCTGGGCTTCAACAGTCTCGCCAGAATCTTCATTTTTTGAAGACACATAATTGCGATCATAAAACGCCTCAACACCTTCTTTGAAAACATGGACCAAAATATCCCACAATTGCAGAGTTAAACTTTCTCGAACTCGGCGAGGCGAATCACGAAGAACGGTTTCACGGTCAAACAGATAACTCGTTCGCGGGACTTTCACCCTTGAAGGATCTTCGGGACGAGAAAGGAACTTGGTCGTGAGTCGATAACACAAAAGCATCAAGTCGCATGGAGTGATAAAGCGATCAGAGCCAGAAGAAAGGAAAAATGTGAAAGGGTGCTGGACAATGTATTGGACCATAAATTGATGAAAATCGACAAGCTGCGCGCGGGAGGGAAGAGGCAAAAGTAATTGGAGGTGACGACGGGAGGAAGGACGTTGAGTCTGTGTTCCAGTGTTGGGACTGTTAGGATTCGAGGGATAGGAATCAGAACGAAGGTCAGAAGGACCCTCTGGATCCGGAAAATAGTCGGAAGGACTTGGAAGTATAGGATGAGATTCTCGAGAATGCCATTCAACAATGTCAGTTGATGTGTCATTTGATCGCTCCAGATTGCTCTCAAGAAATGTCAATAATGGCGAACCATCCCGGCTGGATCGAACGGAGAGGGGATTTGATGGTGTCTGTTGCGTGTGGGAAGTCAATGGAGATGGAAGTTGGGTATCTGCTGTTGGGACTTCAGTGAAGGATTGACGTGCAAACAAATCGAATCGTCCTTCTGTTGTTCCCTGATTTCGATTATTTGCGTGCGGTTGTCTTGAGACTCGAACGGTGAGAACGAAAACGGTTGCTAGTTGGTGTTTATAAAAATCTGATTGTTGGAAAAAGCGTTCCAAAGCTGCTTCCTCCAATTCTTCATCGTTAACAGTAATCCATTTTTCATAACGAGCACATGGATCAAATCCGTGGTCTCTTTGAGCAAACATATCTCTGGTTAATCGGATTGCAACTTGGCATTTGTATTGATTTCTAAAAGCTGAATAGGTTTCCATCCAACTAAATGAATCCAATGGGTGAACGACACCAACAATTGATAACGCTAGATGATTCAAACAACGATGCCGCCACCACAATTCGCCAGTATTGCTTCCTGTTTCGTGACCGTTTGACACTGCAGACTTGTTGTGCCTCACATCATCAGTGAAAAGCCTTGAAGGCCCGTGAAAATGTTCTCTGAGATCGTAGGCTGTTGCTGCAAGGTGTGCGACGTCTGAGGGAAGCAGAAATTCAAGCAGATTTGGAGAGTGTTGTACTACAAGCCGATAAATATCCATAGCAGTTTACTGTCGATGAACCTCTCTAAAAATGGTTAATGTGGGATACAGAATTGTTTGCAAATTCAAAGTTTTATTTTTCCATTTCACACGTATATTAAGATACCCGCTTTCCTGTTAGAACCAGAATGTCCCAAAAAGGTCTAGCTAATAGAGGATTTTGTTTAGATCTGTTATTGAAATGAAAGCAGCATCTGGTGCTTCAAGTTATCCAAAGTTAACATCTGCACTTCTATCAAAGATCTCCCAGCAAATCCACGCATTGCCACATTCAGTCGTTCCGTTATTGCCAACCATTGCTCAAGACCCCATCGACCAATCCCTGTCTGAGTGGTTTCCAGTGTTACCATCTGATGTTCAGAAGATTTTGAAGCACCACCAGTCAACAAAAACAATCCATGAGGCCACATTCCCTGATAGACAAACACCACAAGAAAAGATTCTAAGTACACCAAGTCCAAAAATGGCAGCGGTTCTTGTGCCTCTCTGCCATCAATCTGGTTTTCCATCGGTTTTGTTTACTGTCAGATCCTCGTTTGTTGGAACGCATCAAAATCAAGTGAGCTTCCCAGGAGGGCATCTTGAAGAAGATGAAACAGCACAGGCAGCTGCTGTTCGTGAAACGCAAGAAGAACTGGGGAGCGGAGTCGGGAAAATAGAAATTCTCGGATACTGCTCTCCCATTTATGCGATAACAGGAACATTGGTGTTTCCAATATTAGGCTTTATTGAAAGAGACGTGGAAAATTTCCAACATTTGTCACGATGTGAAGCAGAAGTGGATCAAATTTTTTGTTTGTCTATTGATCATTTGTTAAATCCTAAAAATCGTCGTGAATCAACAGAGTTCCGATTTGGGACTCAGCTGCTGATGCCATCGTTTCACGGGGGTCCAGAAATCATTTGGGGTCTAACGGGAATGATTCTCGATGGGGTTTTGAGTCAAATTCTATCACGGGCAGTCTCGCCTTCATCACTATGAGAAAGACATTAGTAGCGCAATCAGTAAGTTACCGAAATGGAGTTGGATTTACAGATCGTTGCACCCAACGCAGGAATTTTTTTTTATTAAGAGGTTATTTTGACAGAAAAACAGGTTGACGGTGAACCTGGAGAACGACTTTTGTCAGTTTTATTGCGGAACTTCGGAATGAGGACTTGAGATAAATTTCTAGATTATTAAATTATGGAACGAGACCAAAATAATTGGTCTATTTTTGAGAAGGCTTCAGCGGATAAAGAGACCTACCGCGACGCAAACTTTGATGATGGCGCAAGCGCTTCTCATGACGATGAAGCGTCCCGCTTTTTTCGCCAAGATTCCTTTTTCATTCAATCAAGATTCGCATTTCCTCAGTTCCCAATCGCTCCTGAAAATGTCACGGTTTTGCTTAGTCCCACGGAATTTCATCAATGTCTCGTCGATTTATACCGTTCTGCGAAGCAGCGTATCGTTTTGGCTGCATTATACATCGGAACAGCTTCCCCTGAGGGCGAAGTTGTTGAGGCGGTTGCCGAGACGTGCCGGCGTGCTTTACTTAATCCATCTAAGCCATCAGAGGATTTCGAATCTTTAGATCGTCCAGCGTCAACACGCTCATCGTCATCTGAGCTGACGACAACGGCTTCCACCGGCGCTGCTGCATCAAGCGTTGCTATGGAAGAATCTAGTCGATTTTCTGTTGATATTTTGATTGATTCTGCGAGAGGGCGTCGTTTAGAACAAGGGGGTTCATCTTTAACGATGCTTGAATCTCTTTTTGATTTGCAGGAAATTGCAAATCAGAAAACTCCAACAGTATCCTGCACCCATCCTGCCTCTTCTTTGTCTGAGTCTCCATCTTCAACTGCATCGCCCGTATCGATTAATGTAAATCTATTTCACTCCCCTCTTCTCTCTGGACTTCTTTATCGCGTGTTGCCTCCTCGAGTCAATGAAATTCTGGGAGTTTTTCATACAAAGATATTTCTTGCAGATAATACAGTTGTTCTGACGGGTGCCAATCTAAGTGGATCTTATTTAACCAATCGGCAGGATCGCTACGTCGTTATCAAAGACGCTCCTCTTCTTGCGGATTTTCTCCACCGATTTATTCGATTGGTTCAAAAATTTTCATTTTTTGCGGAGATCATTCCAACTGTCCAACAGGCAGAACAAAACCTTCAAATTCCTTCTGAAGAGTGGTGGAATAAACAGCGTTCGAATGATCGACAAGTACCACTCAGCAATGGAAAGACTGTTGCGTTGCGTCTCAATCAAGGAATTCCTGATCCTACGAATTCAGCAGAAGAGTTTAAAAGACAATTTGGTCAAGCTCTTAATAATTTTTTGGTTCATCAATCTCCTCCAAATCCTCAAACGTCTCTTTCTTCTACATCACTACTTGTTGCGATTCAAGCTGGTTTTTGCAATCCAGCTATTCAGCAAGAGCAAGAGCTCCTTTCCCTTCTTCTCCCATCACTTTCGAATTCTAGTTCTCAATGGCACCGCAGACTTGGCGACTACGTTCCCTGGTCGTCCCCATCATTCTATTCCTGCCCTTCCCGTCGTAGTGCTGCCGAGAGTCCATTTCTTCCCAATCGAAGTTCAAACCTTCTTGGCGATCCGATCGATCGAATTGTTTTGGCTTCTGGTTATTTAAATATGGCAGACGAGCTCCTTGAGCGACTCGCAAACTCTACTGCCAGCAGTTCCTCTGACGATACGACGAATGACAAGCCAGCAACATTGGAAGTTTTCATGGCAGCCCCCGAAGCGAATAGCTTTTTCCAATCCCAGGGACTTTCGAAGTACATTCCAATGGCTTACTCTTATGTTGCCGCAACGCAGCTCCTTCGACTTCGCCAATTGTGGGAACAGAGACGGAGAGAGGATGCTCTTGCCGTTCGCTACAATTGGGAACCGTCTGGGACATTTTCGCGGTGGCTTCTAGGATTTGGATCTGTGGAGCAGCGAACCCAAGCTGCCCCATTATTCTGGGAGTATGACAGGGCGGCCTGGACGTTTCATTCAAAGGGGATTTGGTTTTACCCAAGGCAGCAAGACGGAGGAAATCGAAGAGAATATCCTACAGCAACAATTGTGGGAAGCTCAAACTTCGGATTAAGGTCTTGTGTTCGTGATTTGGATGTTTCATTTTTAATACAAACAAAAGATCGTTCTTTGCAACAGCAATTCCAAAAAGAGATTGATGTGATGCGTCAGCATTCTAGAGAGGTTGCCGACGTTTCATTGCTTGCATCGCGGTGCCCTCGATGGCTTCGATTCCTACTGCGTTGGGCAGGGCTGAAGACTCTCCTATGAAGCTGTGTGCTTTTTTTTCCCCCTTTTTGGCAAACATGAATAATAATCCAAAGAAAAAAACATCTGCCAAATACCACATGATCATTTCAGAAGCGCATCTTCCCATTGTTTCCGGTGCAGTCTGAAGACGTACAGATGTTGTTGGTTCTTTCAAAACTCAGAAGCCTACATATAAAGGTCCAGTGCAGCTTGCGCATCCTCTACAGGGTCATGGGCCCCGACCTGTACTTCACGGTCCAACCAGTGAGCGGCTAAACGTTTCAAAGATGCCTTCTGTTGAGAGGATGGAGAACAACCGGCAACACCATCGCGTAAAGGAAGATAGAGGCTTGTGTCTCGAACGAACTTGTCTTCCGGAAACCACATCAACGCCTACCAGGGAGAAACAAGCTGGTTGGTCAGAAAATTAACGTGACCATACGTGAAAATCGTTCACAAGGGCATGCCCAACAACAACTTTATCGCTTAGAAGTTTCATAGCCTGAAACATTCAGATTTGAGAAGATATGGAAGCAAATCGAACCTTTTCTCGAGCCTGTCTGAACGGTATGCCTGCAAAACAGCAAGTTTGAGAAAGAAGTGGCGCCATAAAGAGTTACCGGTCTTCAAATGATGCCATTGTATTCCAGTGATACGCCTCCGAAAATCAGTTACTGTCTCTCGAGGTCTGACATACTCATTCATGACAACCTCTCCAAACTCGTTTACTATAGCGATTCTGCAAATGCACCACGAACATTTCGAGCATCAATTGGCATCTTACTTCGCTAGAAGACTTCTTGAACCATTTATTCCTCCACCGACCATTTCGCAATCCAACCCAACCACTTCAGGCCAAGATGGGTTTCTTGGAAGCGTTTTGATTTGTTTCAAACTAAAAGATTTGATACCACATGGGACAACCATTTTGACCTTCTTGCATTTTGATTCTATTCCCTGCAATTGAAAATAACAAATGGCTTCTGGAAGGCAAACTCACAGCAGATTGCCAATTCGGAGAAAGCCCCGATATTTCTTTTCTGCTTTGACTTTCTTCACTTTTCTCTACAGAGCATTCTACGGAGCATTTCCTCCGTTTCTTTCTACCATTTCTTGCTCCAGCGTCTGAAGATGTTGTTTGCGCTTCTCTGCAGAATTCCTTTTCATTTTTTTCTGTTACAATGGCTTCCTTTCTTTTTCTTTTCTTTGAAACGGGCTCTTCAATATTCTCGTATTGTCTAGTTGCGCGCTTCATGATTCAAGGTGGGGCACGCTTTCTGGTTTCACAGCTTGGTTCAGGAGACTTAAACTTGCACAGTTTAAATTATTAACAAGCTACTTAGTGACGAGCATTGCGATAACAGACATCCTTAGTCAAGTCCTGTCGCTGGCTGAAGAGACTTCTAAATGACGTTGTTTCGCAAGCAGAAGGTTTGGGGGCCTCTAATAATTGACAGACGGCAGCCATGAGATCTTGCTGAGCAGCATCTGTATGACGCCCATCGACCAACACCCATGGAACGTAGGGAAATCCTTGAAGATCGCTCTCAACACGCATTTTATGCATCAGCTGATTTCCCTGGAAGGCGTTGGATGGAACCTAGATCTCAGATGCCTCTTACCACGTCACCCCTTCGACAAGTCATCAGATCTTGGAAACCTTTGAGTGTAAGGTGTGTCAAACATCAATCACTCTGTTGCAGAGTTACCTGAGACACCATAGAACTGGGTCCCGCACTTCTCATCAAAATTTGGCGTTTTTTCGAGACATTCAATAAAGTTCAAAACTGACTCTGGAGGATCGGCAATATATGATATTCTCCTAGACTCTGTCTTACCATTTGGGTGTTGATGAATTGCGCAGGCTTGAATTAAATTCAATTGGCACTCTCGTTCTCCGTGCTGAGCCGAGGAACGGCAGTTTGAGAACGTGGAAGCTGACTCTTAACCCCTTACTTGACAGCGGAAGGTACCATCCTTATAATCAACATTTCCATAAGGGTACAGACGCAAATCGACAAGCGGCCCAGCATCACTTCTCATCAATGGAACCAATTGGTGTAGAATGAACCGTTGACAGAACGGACATAGAGCCTGACGACAACGCAATCGTGAATGGCCGATGAAATCCAAACAAACTACACACTTCATAATACAGATCAACTCGAACCCGGGCCTCGACAGCAACGAAAAAGCTAATCAACGTCAAGGCAAGCATTAGGAGAGCGAAATTCATTTCCAGCATAATAAAAAACTCTTCAATGAGTTTGTTTCCTTCTTGCAAATTTCCCAATGTGTTTTCCACAGAAAACCTTCTGAAAAAAGTGAGCCATGTTTTAACTTGAAAAACCTCGATGGAGTGTTAAGAGGAGTAACAGGCGGCGTTGCGAAAAAGAGTTTGCAAAACACGATATCAAAACTCAAAACTTTTTCTTCAACTGTACTGGCCCGCTGCCTCTTAGGCAATCCCACACACCAAATGAACCATCCCAGCTCGCAGATGAGAGAACGCCGTCAGCAAAGATGTTCCAATCTAGCCCGACGACGAATTCTGAGTGATGAGAATATCGATGCTGGAGAGCTGCCCTTCGACAGTCCCACACCCCAACAGTCATGTCATAGGATCCACTGGCAAGAACGGCCTCTCGGATAGGACTCCACTGGATGCACCTTACAGCTAATGAATGCCCTCGCAACGACTCCAGGCAGCCTTCGAAGGGAGTGCTCGACGTTTTGTTGCTGGCCTGCAGCTTTCGAATATCCCAAAGACGTATCACGTTGTCTGTCCCCGAAGTTGCTATTACAAATGGTGAGAACTTGTTCCAGTCGACTGCTAGTGCTTCACCCTCATGAGCAAATTGAGTGGCTAATGATTTGGCGAGGAATGAAGATGAACTGGGATTGGTTCGACCAGCGTTTTCGCGGACGTCGAGAATTCTCATACACCCATCTCCGCCACATGTCGCAAGAATAGACGACTGAAGCGGACACCATGCTGCCTTGTAAACAGCCTGTTGATGAACACCGGGCAGGCATAGTAACTCAAGGCCGGTAGGAACATCCCACAACCGCACTGAAAGATCCCAAGATGCAGTGAGAAGCAAATGGGGCAGGTGGAGGTTCCACTCAAGGCTGAAACATTCTCTTGAATGTCCCTTCAGGATTTGCAATGGAGGAGAAAATTGGTGAGGGTTCAGTTTTTCTTGTCGGACGTCCCAAAGATTCACACATCCGTCTCCTAATGCTGCCCCTAGAACTGATGAGATCTCTTCACTCCATGCGCAATCGAGTACTGTTTGGTCGCACAAATAGGAAGCGCGAAGAGTAGGACTCTCGGCATTACGAGATACGGAGTAGACGTGTTGGCATCCCTTGCCAGCGATCCCAAAATTTTGACCTGTCCCAACTGCAAGCAGACTGGGAATATTGTGACTGAATTTCACTGCGGTAACACAGAATGGGGTTTGCGCAATTTGAGGAGGCCAGTCGGAGTTGGTTGACGGATAGCGCATCAACACCAGGCATGATCCAGCGTGTGCCTACGTGATATGCATGTCACTGTGAGACAGATTAATAGTTGTTAGGAACTCACGTGGCTTCTATTCAAAATGCCAGGAGCGTATGAGAAACAAATGGCTGGGGAGCATTATGAGTTGTGTCTGAGTTCTGTTAAAAGATGTCAAAAGTTACTTGAAGAACAAAACTATGATGCGTTGGGGATGGAGATGTCGATGCTCATTCTATTGCAAGGGGAGCGTTCGAAAAAGTCGATTGAAGAATTTTGTTACGCGGGCGGATTCAAACTCATGTGTCAAGTTTTAGCATCCAGAGCAACAGACAAGGCTGTCTGTGATGTTACCTCCATACTGAATAATTTCAGTTCCTTATTAGCGATAGAATTCGATCCCTGTAAGCATTTTTTGTTCTTTGAAAACAAACTTGTGTTTCAAATTTCAGTTGATGATGATCTTGGTCGCATTCCACTTTTAACCTATTTTCTATGCGAGCGGCACACACACTACGTCGACATCCAGTGGAACTCAGATGAGCTCACGCTAATGAGGGACTTTCTCTCAAGCCACATTCTTCTCATCAACGGTATAGATACAGTGAGTGAAGTCGATCGTAGTATCGCTCTCTCAAATCTCTATAGCGCATTGCTAAGCTACCCGCCACATCGGTACGTCATTCACTTGAAGATTTCTCTTAATTGTTATAATTTAGGGTTGTGCAATCAGCAGCCTCCATCTTCAATCGTGATGCTTGCTCACAACTTCTCAATTCTCTTCGTCGATTGCCATCACTGTGGAGTAATTCAAGCGGACGACGACGAATAATGCAATTCCTTCTCGCAGCAACATCTTTCGGTCTTGGTCCTGCAGTAAGCTTCGTGGCCAAGAGTGCTCACTGTTTGGTGGTCTGATTTAAAATTTCTTTTTTAAATAGATCACTGGGGATATATCGCATTCCCAGCTTCTCATGGCGGTTAATCGTCAGCTTGTTCCTGAACTTCGATGTCCATGTGGAAGATGCGAGTTTTTCAGAAGACTTCAAAGAGCTTCCAGAGAGCGCGATGAATTTGGCGTTGCAAAGGCGTCGGGTCTGCCGTTTCTGATGATTGAATTAGGATTGATTCTGTTTGTTTACAGAAGCGAAAAAAAGCAATTTGCTACTCGTTCCTTGAGGCGAAGGTCCATGTTTTCATCGCTGAGCTTCTCAAAGAAGCGGAAGAATCTTTCAGAAGAAAGAAACTCGACAATTTGAAGTCTGCCTTCCCTTTGAATGAGAAACCAATTGGGGAAGAGAACGACAGAGATGAAAAACCTGAAAAGGAAAATGAAGAACCATCTGTCGGTGAAGCGAAATGTCGATTGCGTCGGTTGGAAGATGTTTTAGCTTATGAGGGATGTGATCCTGATGATCCTCGTCTGGATGATCATTTGAAGTTATTAGCAACTCAAGTCATTTGGTTGTGTTCCTGGGCGAGTGAGGAAGTGAGCAATTGACGGTATGAAATGATCATTTAATTCAATGACTCCGTTTATTATCACAGATGTATGATTTATCGATATTAAGTATCGATGATCATTTATTAATGACGGCGTTATTGAAGTCAATCGATTTATCGAATCTCAAGTTAATGTGAGTTGATTAATAGCTTCTATCTTTTATGTGGTCAGTATTACATTTTTGTCCTTCATCAGATTCAATTCTTCAACTGGAGAATTCTTGCCAGGAATTCGCGCGACAATTGAGGTACGGATTCAATTTTCAATCTTATTTGCTTGTGAATCGTTCACAGATTCTTTGCACTCTCACTCTCAAAACAGAAGAAGACGAACTTCAAACTCTGACGTCCAGATTGAGACCCACAATTGAAGGTAGTCCATCCATCAGAGTATCAAAATTCAACTTCTTTTTTTCAGCATTGCTACAAAGATCTTCTACCCTCTTGATTGAAGCATGCGGCCATCTCTCTCGGCAATGGAATCCTTCTATGGCGATTTTTGCGCCTGTTCTGTCATCGATGCTTGCATGTGTAAGTGTTCCTCCGCCAGTGTTTTTGATCCTCTTCGCATCAGGTCTACATCGCTGGATTTAAGGAACCCACGAAACGAGGTTTATGGAATCGCATTGGGACATCTGCGATACAAGAATCAGTGATAACTGTCGCTGCGGATGCTTGTCGATGTCTCGTTGAAGGATTTGAATGGGGAGGGTCTCGAATAGATGATCGTGTAGGATCGATATTGATCATTTGAATTGTTATCACTCTGTCCCAGATCTTTGTTGAATCGATTTTACAAGCAATGGCGATCCTTACGGGTGTTCTCGAATACTCGCGGTGTTCGGAGGCTCGTCGTCGGCTTCTTGCTCCTCCTCACAGCTGTTGCGGTTTCATGGCAAGTTCAGGTGGGTGGGAAATATTCATGAAGTTTGCAACATGTGCTGTAATAGGGCGGTGGCTTCTGAATCATTTCGATTCTGCGATCGCGAAGGGCGAAGGGTGCGTTATCATTCGAACTCTGGGATCAGTCGTTATCTCACGAGCAGAGAAAGCAGTAGCATTAAATTTAGTAGATGACAGACCGTAACTTTTCTGTGAGAACTGTTTCCTTTCTGATGGAATACTGTCTTTTAAGTTCAACATGAAGGAAGGAAAGGTGGATTCCAAAATCATGACGCATCGAAAACTTGTGTGGGCCGTACCAGGCGTTATCGTCGGTCTCTTTGTGGGGACATTACTTTGTCTTCTGATTGACGTTCCCAAAATCGACACATATCAGCACCACACAAGCGTCCACGTACAGCAGGGCCCCAAAGCGGTTTCTGAAATTCATGTTGGTTTTGGAAATGCGGGAACTATTCGCTCAGACGTCCATCCCGATATCGTCAGATCGCGTCGAGATGGATATCTGCCGTTGACAACATTGGGACATCACGGGATTTCTTATATCCATACGACAATTTTGTAAGACACGAAATGAGTTCTTCGAATGACGCGCTTCTTGTGTAGAGATGATGACGAGCGAATCGTCCCCTTGGAACTTCT